CTTTTTCGGCTCCGGCAGCAGTGCTGGGGCGAGGTCTGCATCTTCCGGGGCCTACGTGGGTGTTTAGGACCATTCTTTGCCACACACTGCTCCGAATTTCCTGTTGCCAGCACCCACCATCTTGCTGCCTGCATTCCCTCACTCATGGCGGGCTTTGCACATCAGTGAGGGTGTTTCTTCCCAACCTGTGCCCTTATCTGGCATGACTCTGGTGTCCCTGTGGAGCTCACGTGCAGCTCCTGCCCTCCGAGACCCTGGATGTCTTGCACCGCCTCTCCCTGGGCCCCGCTCCATCACTGGGAACTGCACCATCTTGAAACCGCTGTTCGCACTCCTTGTGCCCAGGTTGCCCAGACTCTCAGCCCCCAGGTGGTTCCTGGGAAGACCCTGTGTCCTAACAGCTACAGGAATCCGCTCACGGGGTCTGCATCTTCTCCTGCCTTTCCTCTTTCACTCAGCTTCCACCCCCACATGCAGGCCAGCAGCCCACCTCCATCCATGCACCCAGGCAGCAGCTGAGTAAAGGCACCTGACTGCACAGGTTAGATGCATCCTCTCTAACATCAACCCAGCCCTCCACGCCAGCTGTCTGTCCTCACAGTCATTTACTCTGATGACCCACAGTCTATGGGAAAACGTGCCTCAATTGTTCTCTCCGCCTGTCTTCGCCTCAGCTCAGCATTTTATCTCCCCAACTCTAGGGGAAAAGCAAGCTATCAGATGGCAATGACCTCAGCTTTGTGCCGCTAAAGCTGTCTGCCCCTGCCTGGGTCCCCACCCCGGCACCTCACCATCCTCTTGTGATGGAGGCAGGGGTCCCTCCATGCCATGTCCCTCTCGAGAGCCCTGCTCCACCCTCCTCCTCTCTGCTGCATCTTCCTCTCTCAACTGGCTCCTTCTGGACAGCATTTAAGTCCGCTGCAGTCTCTGCTGCTAGTCAAAACATCCTTCCTCAAATATGTGACCTTCTCCTTTAACCCCGTGCCCGCCCTGCACGGCCCTTCCCTCTTGGCACACTGCTGGAGGGCCCTACTCGCTACTTACACGGGTCTTCATAGCTCTTATGCGATTCCTGCTTAGTTTCCACTTCCATCCCAAAGAGAGCCTGCTCTCACCCAGGTCATGCATGGTGACACTTCACCACCTCTGGGAACAGGCGTCACTAGGGCGAGGCCTCAGTCTCCTTGAAGTGACCTTGCTATAGCCTCAGAGGCACCGCGATGCCAGAGACCTGTGGCCTCCCTGGCTGCTGCTTCTAACCTCCTTTCCTGTGTTTTGCTCCTTGGACCATCTCATTCAACTCCCTGCAGGCCACATCCAGACCCAGGGCTTCGTGATCTATAGCCTGACGAGGCCCAGATTTCTGTCTCCAAGTGGTTGGGGTCTTAGGGCCTCAATGCCATTACCCTCAGTGCGGGCTCTGAGCTAATGGAGGGATTGATTCGGGAACCACCTGCAGCTGTGTTCTGAGTCAAGCTGAATTGGAACATGTGGCTTAGAACTGCAGCAAAATATCCCTCTTCATTATCTCATCCAATTGAACCGACTTTCTGTGTCCAAACACAGCCTCCTCTTTGCGGCAGCCCCATCAGCCTGGAAGGTGAGCCACGTGCAGCCACGTGGGGGCCCAGAAAATAGGAAGCCTCTGCTTTTCAGAGCTCAGCTGAGAGGTGGCTGCGCTGAGGGCCCCAGGGTCTGATCAGTCAGCTGAGTCTTTTCCACCTGCAGGAGGTGCAGGTCCGAGGGAAACAGAGGAGGGCAGAGCTGCCATCCTTGGAGGGCTTAGGGTGACACCTCTACAGGAGTCTTAGGCAGTTGGGGAGAGGGAGGAATTGGTTCCCTGCACCAAGCTCTTGACCACTGTCTGCGGCCCGCTACTCCGTGTCCCCTACTTGGCAGACATGGGTCATTAGTCTACCCCTTACAGCAACCTTTCAGGGCAGGTATTACTATTACTTCTATATTTTGAGGGAGGAAAGTAAGGCTCAAAGAGGCCAAGTCTCTTACCTGCCTGAGGTGCCTCACCCTATGAAATGGCAGCAGTGTTAGTGTGAGCAGGTGAATCAGCTTGGGCTACAATTAAAAAAATACCATAGGTCAGTGACTTAAACAGAAATGTACTTTCTCGCAGTTCTGGAGGCTGGAAGTCTGGGGTCGGGGAGCCAGCGTGGCGGGGTTCTCATGAGGCCCCTCCTCCTGGCTGCTGACAGCTGCCTTTCACTGCAGCCTCACATGGTAAAGAAGTCTCTGGGTCTCTTCTTCTAGGGCACAAACCTGATCATAAGAGCCCCCATCACTTCATCAAACCCTAATTACCTCCCAAAGGCCCTGTCTCCAAATACCACCCCAAGGCTTCAACACATGCATGGGTGGGGGTGACACAATTCGGTCTATAGCAGTAGGATTGGAGTCAAGCACTCACAAGATACTGGGAGGATACGGGCACGTAACAGCCGGCATCTCTGAGAAGCAGGTAACCTGGAATTTGCTGAATTATGGAGACCTCAAGTTTCAGCTGAAAATGACCAGGAGGTCTTTGACTCTGACACGTGGACGAAGCTTCACCTGGTTCTTCAGGAAAGGATGGGCCCAGGGCAGGCATCAGATGGAGGGAGGGGGCAGGGCAGATAGCTACATTGTTACCATCATTTCTATAGAGAATGTCATCAGGGTGATATCCCACAGGTGCTTGAACATGACCCCCAGAGTCCTTGAATGAAGCCACTGAAGCAGCAGAGGTTGACCCTTCCCCAGCAGACGAGGAAGGTCTGGAGAATCACAGACATTTCCTGTCCAGGTCCGCTAGAGCATCGGCCTCCTGGACTTGCCTCAGATAGCCTCTGTCCCCTAGTAGGGGAGGAGCCTCTGAGGGTACACAGACAATTTCTTTTTGTGGTATGAGGACCTTCAGTGAATCCAGTGTGAATAAACCAGCTGCCAGAGGCATTGGGAGGACAAGCGGGGAGGCCCCTATGACTGGACGCTGGAAGACAGGGCCCTCCCCACCCCCTACCCTGCTAGGCGATGCTGTGGTCAGGGAGGACGGCTGCACCTGGGAGATGCTCACTCACAGTCAGGGGCAGAGTGGCAGCCTCTGAGGCTCACCCCTGGTCACTGTGGGCCATCGACAACCAGAAAGAAAAGAAAAACGAGGGTGCATGGGTGGGAAATACCAGCCATGGCTGAATGTAGAGAATGAGCCAACAGGGTTACCACACTCTCCTTTCAATCCCTGTGCACATTAAACATCCTGGGAGAGTGAAGAGGAAATGGAAAATTCCACCTGGGAACTTCTTTTTAGTCCCCTCGCTTTTCGTTGATGGCCGACCATGCGTTTGGAGCGGCCTGGCGGGTATTCCTAGGACGTCCCAGGGCTTCCAGGCCAAATCCTGGGAGGATCTGCATTTGGGGGAGGGGTAGGAGTGCAGAGGCAGATGGGCCTTGACTCTGGTCCCAGCATCCAGGCAGGTGCCGGGGCGTCCTGGAGGAATGCCTTTAGGCCCTCAAGGCTCTCCAAGGAGGGCCCTGACGATTTCTTTCCCTGGCCGTGGGCTCTAGCCTGAGGCCAGGGTGTGATGTGCAGGACAGGGCGGCCAGGCACTGGAGCCCGGCAGAGCTGGCCTGGAAAAGTGGGCAGCGGGGCCGACTGCAGCATGGCACCACCTCGTGGCCACTGGTCCACATTGCAACTGTGATGAGAGGCCAACCAGGAGCGAATTTGGGGGAGGCTGGATCTTCCATAGAATGGAGGGGTGGGAGCATGTGTTAGCGCCAGGTGACAGCAGGGCCCTGTAGGGAGAGGACAGAGAAGTGATGGGATGAGGAGGAAAGGGAAGTCTAGAGTTGAGGAAACAACTTGGAGAAGATACAGGGGCAGCATGAAGGCCCGTGGCAGGGGGCAGGAGCAGGACAGAGGCATGGGGGGAGGGAGGGAAACAGACCGGGCTCCCCAGCAGAACCTTGCCGTTCATTTCAGTCTTGCAGACAGCTCCTTCTCTGCTCCTGTGTCTGATGTACTAATAACTAACATTTGTTGTTGTAAGCCTTTTGCGTAGGTTAAGTCATTTAATTCTCTACGTGTATGTATACAGAAGTATTACATCATACCAAACTTACCCATCATGAGATCAGGCAGAGAGGTTAAGTTACTTGCTCAGACTCACACAGCTAATAGGTAGGACCCAGGGCGGCCTGGCTGCAGAGCCTCTGTGTGAATCTTTGCCCCATCCTTCCTCTGGGGGCTGCCCTCAGAAGGTCCCCATAGACAGTGTCTCAAATATCTCAGGAAACATCCTTGCTAAGCACAGAGTGACAGGGAGGCAGCAGGGCAGACAGGAGGCCCAGGACTGGAGAGAGACGCCTTGCTGTGAACCCACCTCTGCCCTCAGCCATGCAACAGCCTGCAGGGCTGTTCTGAGAGTTAAAGATCACGCCCAGGGAGGTATTGTGTGCCATACAAACTGGGAGGCCTGGTTACTGTTTATACCGATTTTATCTTATAGGCTCCCAACACTGGGTTTCTGAATCTGTTTTGTTTTAAGGGAGATTAGTGCCAACTTTGGACCAAACTCATGCCCATCCCTGGGTGTGCCTGTCTCTGTGGGGGAGGACAGACTCTAGACCAGCCCATATCAGGCCCTGGCCAAGGTGAATTTACTCAGCAAACGTTCAAGCAGGTGGTGCATGTCTACTGGGCCTCTTGAGATGCTTTTGTTTTTAATCTCACATCCCCTCTGATGGCCAGTGTTGTCACGCCCATTTGATACATGCGGCAGGCAGCGGAGGTTCAGAGAACTTAGGTGACTTGCCAGTCACACAGCAGGGCCCGGCACTCCTGGGCTTGAGAACAGGCTTCTCCAAGGCCTACGCTGGGGCTCTCCTCTGTATTCTGAAATCTGGCCATTCAGCAGTGGTGACGCCAACCCAGTAGGCCCTCTGAGCTGGAGGGTTGAAGGCAGCGCAAATGCATGACCCTCGTAGAAAAACAACAAACACACCCAAACGATAAAATAGCTCTTTATTTATTCACTTTGATTTGGATCATTGGAAATATTAAACAATAAATAAAACAGAGCAGGGGCTGAGGAAAGCAGGATCTTGCTAACGTTATTTGAATGCATCCCAACCAGTGCTCAGCTGCGCAACGACATGGAGAGAGGCGAGGGGGAATAGAAAGCAAATTTTAAAACACCAACAGCCAAACACACAAGACTGCACACAAGAAAAAGTGCTCAAGAAACTTTGGCTTTGAAGGGAATTCAGTGAAGGGAGGCGATTGTGCAGGAGGAAGGGAAGGAACCTGCAATCACCCTAAGGGGCGGGGGGCTGAAGGGGGAGGCCCTGACACAGGCTAGGGTTAAAGCTGACGTCCCCCAGCTCAGGACGTGCAACCAATGGCAGTTTTGTACTAGGAAGAAGCTGAGTGATGAGGCTGGATGATGGGATCGCCTGATGGGCTGGGAGGGAGAACAGGAGGTGTAAAGGTGGCTCACCGCCCATAGGCAAGTCAGTGCTCTCTTGGTAAGAAAAAAAAAAAAAGTCAGTAATGCCCTGATCCTGACAAGCTGTGAGATGCTGCCTTGCCTGTCTCTGCCTTTTCTTCTAAGTCTTCCTCCTTTTCTTTGCACAGGTGTCAGGGAGCACCCCAGAGGTGCAGGAGCTGGTGTTTTCATGACAAACAAAAATGGGGAGGCTGACTCTATCTCAAAACTGGCTAGCCCAGTTCACAGGGCAGGATAATCCTGATGGCATGTAGCCACATTTGCTGCAAACCAGATGTCCACGATGGATATAATGATACCCCCGGGGCTCTTCTCAGGGGCGAGGACAGGTGCTGGTTCCTGATGGCACATGGCTGGTGTGCAGTCACTGTCCATGGCTGGACAGTGGCCCCTTGAGGCTTGGACTTCCCTGCACACAGCATTTTTGATCCTAGCCAGGGGAGGGAGAGAGAGTTCTTTTGGTTTTCTTTTTATTTATTTTCAGACTACTTCAAAGCAAACATATCCGTTCTAAATGTTCTTTGTGGTTTTAATCCACCTTTGCCAAGAGGCCAGAGTCACATCCAGGTGGGACTGGCCTCTAGCACCACCTTCTGGCCACGGCAGAGAATGGGATTCCATCAAAGCCTCCCAACCAGCCCTTTCCCTAAAGAATCACCCAGACCTTAACTGCCCTCTTCACCTTCTTTCTGTTTTTCCCCCCTATTTTACGTTCTATTTTCTCATATCTGGCTTTTCTCTCTAAGCCTAACCAAATGCTTTGCGGAATGTTTGGAAAAGCCAGAGTTTTAAAAGGTATTCATCCATTTATGAACTTTCTTCCAGCCCAGGATCCCTGCAGAGAACCAGAGGTTATAACTCTGTCCTCCTTTCTCCCCTAAAAGGTGGCTGAGGGGAGGGGAGGTGCATGTAGCTCCAGCTAGAGCAAATCAGTGCCCTGACTCACTGGGGAGACCCAGGGGGCTGGGATGTTGCTGACACCTCATGGGCCACTTCGTCAGCCTATCTTTGCAGCTTCAGGTTCAGCGCTGGGTGCTGCAGGCAGGGACCCCTCTGTTCTCTGCTTGAACGCAGGGCCAGTCTCCAAGGAACTCTCTGTCTGCAGAGTAGAAAGAGTTGTGGGCTGGGATTCAGGGCCCTGCGGGAGCCCCCGCCACTACCTGCCCAGCACGAGTGCTCGTCGTACTCCTGCTGACAGCATGCATACTGCCCTTTGGCTAACACACACACTAATTCCCAGCCACCTTCACCCCAGGGATGAGTTCCAGTTGGTTTAAGCCAAACTGGTGCATTTAATTCTGGCTGCAACAACTGGCTTTTATTCCATGAAGTGCCCATTGCTAAGCCAATGAAACATAAGAGCTATCTGCTGGACTATGGGAAAGAGAAATGTGGTCTCCTGCACTGGAGGGCATGAGAGGCCACCCAGGCAGCCTGCGGACAGAGCTCGGTGCTGAGAGCGCCCAGGAGAGTCAGACTCCTCCATTCTGGTTACACTTTTTCCACATGCTGAATGGAGACTTGCTGGGAAAGCCCGCCTCCAGACAATTTCAACATAGCGCCGGTAACATCCTATTTCTGCTCAGACTTGTGCTATCTGTCCCAGACAGGTCACGACTGCCCGTCACTTCCCTCCTTCACACTCCACCAGGAAAAGGCCACACCTCCCTACACAGCAGCAGCCTTTTAGGAAATGTGCTCAACAGGAAAAGTGGTTTTTCTGATTAAACATCAGTAACGAGAGTCAACAATCACTGTCCTCTCCCATGCCTGTCACGCTCCACTCCCCACCCAGCTGCAATGTGGCCTTGATTCTCTCATCAGTAAAATGGGAAAGCTGGATTTGGAGGCTGGAAGAGATCTCACAGCTTGACCATCCTAGTGGGAGACAGGGAGACCAGACGGAGACCAGGCCATCGACCCAGGCAGCATGTGGCTCAGACATAGACGCCTTTTCATGTCGAGGGACTTATTCTTACACAGCAAAACCCAGAGAAGTCGATTGCTAAGCCCGAGCCTGCCATCCCTGTATAGACTCAGCTTTTAGGAGAAAGGGAAGAGTTCAGGAGATAGCAACACTCTCTGTTTCAGTGTCTGATGATCTGGAGTCTGCCACTGGAGTCACTCAGCCACTCAACAAACGTTTGCTGAGTTCTTCACCTCATATATGGCTGTGAACTCTGCTCTTCGAGGCTGTATGTTCTGAATGACGACTCAACGATTTACCAGCCTTTCTCAGAAAAAAAAAAAAAAAAAATCTTAAAGTTTTGGAGGATTTTAAAGCTGAAACAGGTTTTCTGTTTAACACATTCCCCATTCTGAACCTTTGAGAATCTGATAAAAGCTATAGACCCTCTCTCCAGAAAAATGCTCATAAGTAGAGATTCAGGGAAAAAATCAAACTTGGCACGCAACTTCCGGGGACTCTTGTGAATGGCCTGAAGCCACCTGTGACCCATCACTGATGTCCCCAAGCTCCTCCCTCCCCGTGTGCAGAGGGGGCTCCCCTGCGCCTGGGAGCACAGGCTTCACGCCTCCGTCACACTCCACCAGGAAAAAGTCACGCCTCCTCAAAGCAGCAGCGGCCTTTTCAGGGATATTTTCAACAAGAAAAGTGGTTTTCCTGCTTAAACATTAGTAACTGGAGCCAACAATCACTGGTTCCCACATTTCTGTTACTCTCCACTCCCCACCCAGCAGCAGTAAGGTTTCACAGAGTTTTGGAGACTCCTAGCCTGAGAATAAATCCAAGTCCACAATGAGGAAGAAGGAAGGTTGGGTTGGAATGGGAGGATGCTGAGGACATTCCACAAACCATCCAAGCCCTAGATACCCCCAATATCCCACGTCTGAGGACTCCTACAGACCCCCCTTAAGCACACCCCCGTTTCCCAGCTATTGGGTGAGGCAAGCTTCATTAAAACACCAGGACCACCAACAGAGCCAGGGTGCAACAATGTCAGTTGAATAAAAAAAAGAATCAATAAATAATCAGGAAGGCTAACAAGGAAAGGAGAACAGCTGGGGAAAGAAGATGAGGTATGTGGCAGTCACCATTCCTGGGATATCCTTGGCCCAGACCCCCAGTGACAGCCCCAAGATGGCCAGCAGGGACTTGACCCTGAGCTCAGGCCCTCGGGGAAAATGCTGCTGGCAGCCTCCTGTGTGGCTTTGGAGGTTGCGGGCACCCTATTGAAGAGTCTGAGAATAAGAATGTACGTTCCATTCTGACACACTGCTGGGTGCTGTTGAATATCCTCAGAGCTTTGTTCCAATTCAGGTGCTGGCTCAGGAAACCAGAAAAGATGTTCCCAGCCAGAGAGCAAGCAGGGCTGCTGGTGGGGGTCCCTTTTCCCAAGTAAGGGCTTTTGTTTCATTTCAGCCCATGCATGCTTTTCTTTCCCAAATACAAAGGCACATGGAAGTGGTCAGATCCGCTCTCGCCACGATTAGAACCACGAGATGGACTACTCAAAGGAACATCTGCTTGGGAAGAGGTATCTGCAGGAGTCAGAAACACGGCGCCAAGTTTGGGGATTTTTTCTTTTCCTTTTTTTTTTTTCCCCAGAGATAGGGTCTCACTCTGTTGCCCAGGCTGGAGTGCAGTGGTGTAATCACAGTTCACTGCAGCCTCAAACTTCTGGGCACAAGAGATCTTCCCTCCTCAGCCTCCCTAGTAGCTGGGGCTACAAGTGTGTGCCACCATGCCTGGCTAATTTTTTTAAATCTTTAATTTTTGTAGAGACAGGAATCTCACTATGTTGCTCAGACTGGTCTTGAACTCCTGGGCTCAAGTGATCCTCCTGCCTCGGCCTCCCAAAGTGTTGGGATTACAGGTGTGAGCCATGGCACCTGGTCTCCAGTTTCTGTGAAAATCTTTGGGGTAGGAGCCTCTGGTGGCTCATAAATGAGTTTTGGGAAGAAGATGACAGGGTTATCACGCCAAGCGAGAGGCCGGGCTTCGTGCAAAGAAGGGCAGCATCTTGCCCCGGGCGCCAACACCGCTTGGCATGTCTCTGTGCTAGACAGAATCGCCACTCAAGTCTCTGCCCGTCTTCCTGGGAAACTGTCCTGTCTCTTAGAATATAGGCATCTTCCACATTTGTTCCCCAAGCTCGCTCCAGGAGCTAAAATGATTTTAGTGTGTGGAGGTTGAACCTTTCCCAGCGCCTCCCCAGCTCTGGGGCAGCGGTGGGGGGACGTTGTCCCCATTCAAGACAGGTTCTGAGACATGCTCTGCCATGCCAGCAGAGCCTAGTGACCTTGCTGAATAGATGCTGCCAATGGCTGGGTGCAAGAGGCTGCGAGCGGTGCCTGGGCACACACCTGAGGCTGCCCCTCCAAGCTCCGGGATGGAACGGCTCCGGCAAGATGCTGGGGCTGGAAACGCAGAGGTGTGACAGTGCGTCCATCCTCCACCCTTCACTGCGTCATCTCCCCTTGAAGATCCGGATTTTATTGATGGAGGCCAAGGTGGCCGTCACGTTAGACTCGAAGTCTGCATCGTGCACCCCCGTCTTGCGAAAAGCCCCCGCGGACGGGTTGTTCTCCCAGTAGTGGTGCCAGTTCCCTTTGCTGTCTGCCCCGAAGCCGTACAAGTCCACCTGTGGGGGCAAAGCAAAGATGAGAACCAGACAGCAGGGCTGCCGGTGGCACCCCTGAGAAAGGAAGCCTGTAGGCGTTCCTGGAATCCCACAGGACCATAAACAGCATTTCCAAGGACTCAGACTAACCCTTCATTAAAACCCTTCTCTACGTTCCTGGAACTCTCAGAGGCTTGGTGAAGCAAATGCAAGTTAAGTAAAGCTCAAGTCCAATGCCAGACGACCCTGAGAGATGACTGCATGTGGTCTTGGAGCCCGGGTCTTACCTCTGCAGCAAGGGCAACCTATTCTTCCAGAATCGAGGAGCTACAGAGGGAAGCAATAGGAAGGAGGCCGTGGAATGGAAGAGAGTGGAAGGAAAGCAGGGCTTTTGGGCCAAGCAAACTGCCCCAAATCCCAGCTCTGCCACTCCAGGATGCTCTGGGCATGTGAAATCACTTGTTTGAGCCTCACTTTCCTCATCTAGAAAATGGGTCCAAGAATCATGACTGCAATGAGGCACAGAGCAGGGCTGATCCCTTTCTTCTCTGCGGCCAACATTCATCTGGTCCAGGCGCCCTCGTGGCCACTAGGCCAGGCCTTTCGCATACATGACAAACGCTGTGCATTTATTCTGAGCCCAGCACCCTACTGGCTGTGTTGAAGTTCAGGCAGAGCTTGATCAGATGCCAGCTGGGCAGCTGCTGGGGGAAGCAGCCTTGGGGCTTACAGCTTCTTGGAGTCACTGACTGAGCAATGCTTGTTGGAACTGGGGCTAAATTCAGGGCTCCCACAGCACAGAGGAGGGAGGGGCTGATGCCCTGAGAAGTCAGAGGAAGCTCTTCAGAAGAGGTGGCATGTGGGTCGAGTCTTGGAAAATCAGTACAAGATGACTGGAAGGAGGGGTTTCCAGGGAGAGGATGTGCTATATGCACTGCAGCGTGGAAGACAGATTGGAGGGGTGGGGACAAAGAGGGGACAGCGGACAGCTCCATGCCATATGTGGCTTTCTAAGGAAATGCAACATGGACGTGGGCCTGCTCCAGGGCAGGGACATTAGGGCCAAACAGGTGGGAACGATGGGAGAAAGGGCTCTGAGCAGAAACCCAAGCAAGGGTCTGGGACCAGCTGGCTGGAGATGGGGTGGGGTGGGGAAATGACAGGGGCACCCGCGTTGCAACCTGGGAACACCAGGGCAGGGCTGAGCCTGGGGACCTGCCTTGCAGTGCCTCTGACCCATTCCTGGGATTTCCACCAGGCACCAGGCAGGGTGGGGCTGGGGCTGGGCTGGAGATAAGAAGAGCCCTGTCTGAACCCAGGGTCAGGGAGGAAGTGGGGGCTGTGTGACCCGCCCTCCTGCTCCTCTTCCTGGGGTGGCAGCAAGCCTCTCAGAGCATCCGTGGAAACCCGAACACAGCCTGGTAGACGGTGAAGGACGTCGGAAGGGAAATGCATGCTTCTCGAGATCACTGGTTCTCAATGTCAGCAGACAGTGGAACCCATGGGGGCCTGGCTCCATTAATTCTGGAAAAATTGGGCCAGGATGTGGCCTGGGTGCTGGAACTTAGACCCACAGATGATTCTAAGGAGTAAGTGGGATTGAGAACTGCAGCCTTAGACAATTCTCACTATGAGAATCCGCTCCTGTATCTGGAATCTGCTGCTTGATCTGAGCTTCCACCGCCATGGTTCTGGGCACTCACACAGAATGTGCCAGAACTCTTGCTCCCGAGAACGTTCTCATTGAGCACTGTTACTCACTAAAACACCCTGGGAGACACACGCTGCAAGCCCTGACATAGAGACAGAGAATCCGAGCTTCTGGAAGAGGCAGGCTAGGTCTACCTGCCCTCCCTCTCCCTGCCCTCTCTTGGGCACACAGGACGGTGAGCTCTGTCCTCTGGGCAGCCCTGCGGGCAGGGGGAGGGTGGCATACCTCATCGCAGACATGCATTGAGAAGATGACCGAGAGGATGCCGGTAGATGGGTACCGCCCGTGCCCTTGCAGCCAGTTGTCAAACACATACTTGATGAAGGCTGGGTGGTAGATCAGGATCTGCGGGGATGGGAAGACATGGCCCTTAGTGAGTTCCGGTGGGCAAAGGACATGGAGCGCCTATCAGACACACACACTGTTGCGGCCATGGAGGCAGTGAGCCTGACGGATACCCCTGCACTCGTGGGCCTCCATGCTCGTGGGAAAGATGGACACTCATCCACATGAGTAAGAGACAGAGGTGCTGAGCTCGTAAGTGCTATGGAGAGCAATGATGCAGAGGAGGGCCCTACAGGACAGTGTGAGGAGAATCGCTGAGCTGACACACAGAAAAACCCAAGGAGGCCAAGGGGTGAGACAGGAGACTGCTCAGGAGAAGGGGGCCCCAGGGAACAGCGTGAGGTAGGACCAGACACTGTCAATGAGTGAAGACGTAAGCACCAAGCCACCTGAGGATGGCTGGAATCATCACCAATCCTTAAAATGACCTCATGTCCCAGGTTTCCCTCTCCTCCTGCTACAGATAAGAAAACTGAAGCCCAGAGAGGCTAAGTGACCTGCCCCATGTCACGCAGCCGGCAGTGGCTGAGCTGGGAGGGGGCCGGTATCAGGCTTGGCCTTGGTTCCTCACCCAAAGCCGACCTTGAGGACAATGAAAGGGACTTCTCAGGCAGGAGAGGGTGTGCATGTCCAGAAAGCCAAACTGCAGCCCCTTGGAATGGACTGGAAGGGTGGATTCTGTGGACCTGTGGTAAACCATTCACCTCTCAGTGTGGCCTCCTACCATCTCTAGGAGGCTGTCCTTTCCACCAACCCCACCCTATAGAGACCCATAAGTGGCCTTTTCCCTGAGGCAGCACAGCCCACTGCAAAGGGCAAGATGCTGGAGGCACAGGAAGTCTTCAATTCTACCCTCATCCAGAACTAGCTGTGTGTCTCTGGGCAAGTTTCCTGACCTCTCTGAGCCTATCTAAGTTTGATAGCGTATGCAAAAGGCCAGTGTGGCAGGCACCTCACTTCCCTCCTCCTTCTGCCCTTTGCCCATCTCTTGGCCAGCCTCATGCCAGGGGCCTGCTGGGGAAGATGCAGACATGGAAAGAGATGAGAGGCACGAGGTGAGGCCTGGCTTTGAGAGTAATTAACAAACCACAGCGTGCATAGGGGTCCCTGGAGAACATGTTAAAACCAGAATGCGGGGCGGCCAGGGTTTCTGATCAGTAGGTTTGAGACGGGCCTGAGGATGTGCATCTGTGACAAGCTCCCGGGTGATGCTGCTGGCCCGGGGGACCCCGCTTTGAGAATCTCTCCCAGTGTTTGACCTCTTCCCCCAGGGGCTAGCTAAGTGGGAGATGCTACCTCCAGCAACCTGGGGATCTGGGGGCTGTCTTGCAACTCAATGCCGTACCTGAGAGCAGAGCCTGAGATGAGGAAGCCTGAACTTAGAACAAAGGGGCTGGGGCCTCCACTCACCTTATCCTGTTTCACTCTGATCTTTGCAGGAACCGGGACGTAGGTGCTGCAGTTGGAGAAAGAGAAGCTGGTTAACAGGGCAGGAGACAGGCCCAGGAACCTGGGCACGCAGCTTTGGGGGTAGTGACTAGAGAATGAAGCAGACGTAGCCTCTCCTGCCCCCCACACCTTCCCTCAGGGACCCCCACCTCCCTACACCAGCCACAGAAACCCCCTGCCCACAGCAACCCCCGATAGACACCAGAGAGCAGCCTTGCCTAATTTGAGGACATTCTGCTGGGTTTTGGCCCCTATTCCCCAAAAAGGTGAGGAGGACTTGCTCCAAGCACAGCCTTAAGGAATGGAGTGGGGGCCGTGGTGCCTCCACCTCTCAGGGCCACAGCACGCCTGCCGAGCTGGGGCACTGGCTGGTGAGATCCGCAGCTGCCCCTTCCTCAGCTGGGCGGTTGCATGCAACCCGGGTGCAAAGGTGTCAAAGCTGGTCCCACGGGTGCGATTCCTGCTCCCGGAGGAGACTGCAGCTGAGCCACATCCAGACCTGGCTCCCACCCCGCCCCACCCTGGTCTGCCTCCCTCACCCCTGGTCTCCTGAGGGCACAGCCCCACGGTCTCCTGCACCTACATCCCGGGGCTGGCTCTGTTCCTAGAAAACCTGGCCAAAGACAAGACGGCTTGTGGAAATCTGGACGTCAAAGCACTTCCCTTCAGTCAGGGTTAGAGGAGAGCACAGGCTCTGTGTGGGGTTCAACCCTGGGCAAGGTGCTTGGCCGAGCTCCAGAGTCCTCACTGGGAGAATGGAGCTAATGATAATGGCTATTGTGAGGATTAATTGAGATAGTATGTGCCGAGTGCCACGTGCGGTGCCTGCTCAGGAAACCAGGTTCCTGATTGTCAGGGAAGCCACAGCTGCCTTGCTCAGCGCTGCCTGCCCTGGGGAGGGGCCCAGGTTGCACCTGTACTCCCCATCCCTCATTTCTTAGGAACCCTCACCTGGCCAGGCTCACGTAAGTTTGAAAAGCAAGGTGCTGTTATTTGTCAGGTAAAGGGAGGCAGAACTCGTATGTGCCGACCCTTTCTAGTGGCGGCCCCTTCCCGAAGTCTCCAGGGTGCATGGAGGTCCCTCCGGGCATTGTTAGCAAGAGGACACTAAAGCTTGTGGTTGGTTAAGTGATGGGGAGGGAAGAGTTGGAACAGTCGGGGAGGCAGCCACAGGAACTGGGCTTGTCTGTGCCGGAGGAGGCTGGGGGAGGGGAGGCACCCCGGTGGAGGCACAGCAGGACCACGGCAGGGTTGGGGGACAGGGTGTCACTGCAGGGGGCGGAGCAGTGAGGCGGGGCCACAGGGGGGACTCACTGGGAAATGGTGCCCGTGGTGGTGGCGCTCACCACCCACTCCAAGTCGACGGTCTTGAAGGGCACCAGGATCATGCTGACATTATCTCCCAGCTCCCGGAAGCTCTCAGGGTACACCAGATGGTGGGTAGTCTTCGTCCCAACATCAGCCTCAAACCCTGCCGTGGGCGCCTTGTTCATCCTGGGAGAGAAGGGGAGAAAGTTGAGTCTTGTAGCATGGGCACCTGTTCTCAGCGCGCCTGAGCTCTCCGAGAGAGACAGTGAGCCTCCAGTGTGACCTCAGGGGTGTCATCTGCCTTCCCCGGGCCTCCTTCTTTTCATCTGTAAAATAGAGACAATGAAGACACAACTAGAAGGCTTCTGCTATTTTTCTCTCTTTCGTGACCTCAAGGGAGTCTAGCCATCACCACCGCTGCCCGCCTGTCACAGACAATCTCATCCAAAGGCTATTTCCACAGCCCTAGTTCTGCAGTCAAGGAAGCCTGACTCTGATCCTTACCATGGACTTTTCCATGGGACACCTGGTACACTGAGGCTCCGAGAGGCAGGTAAGTGGTCTAAGGACTAAAGTCAGGAATCACAGACAGCAGAGACTATTCTAGAAGGCTGCTGGGGACGGCCAGCCCCCACCCCCGCACTTCTCAGCATGGAGCACTTATGAGTGGTGTGGTGGGAATGGCAAGAGACCCAGGACAGACTTGGGGCATCTTCCTGGAATATCTATTTCACTTGGTGACAGGGAAAAACACATTTTACATAAAAGATGTGGCTTTATTATGGCCTAGATTACAAAATGGGGATGAATTTTAAAGATTTAAGAGTCCTCACATTAATTTTGCTCTCTCCCCAGGCCTCCAGGTGCCAAGCTTCCAACAACGGGGGACCTCCTGTGTATGGCTTCCTCTGTACGCAGAGGCCCTTCTAGTCCATTCCCGTCCTGCAATAATGCAGAGGTGGGGAATCTGAGGCCTAGGGGGTGCAGCGTGGAGCCTGGGGTCCCTAGGTAAGTCCAGAGGCACCAGGACTGAACCTTGCCTTCCTGAGCCTGAGCCAAGATGCTTCCTATAGCTCCAAGGGGCCTCTGGGTGCAGCGCAGTGGGCTCGGGAGAGGGTGTGGCACTCACCTGAGCACAAAGTCGTGCCTGTCTATCTCAGGCCCATAAGAAGACTCCCTCAGGTTGCCTGAGTTGCCCACAACGGCACAGCGCCGGCAGCCCACCGACCTCTTCTCCAGCATGGGGTCCACATTCCCAGGCACCACTCTGAACAGCTCCTTGATGGTGTCGTTCAAGTTATTGGGCTTCTTCTCCCGCTGGAGCCTCTGTGGGCGGAGGAGAGAAGGTGGTCAACCTGGCTTTGTGGACCCAGCTTCCTGGCAGCAGAGCCCTTGAGCAACCTGCTGTTGTTTACTGGGGCCTCCTGTTCACCCTTCTCTCTGCTGGGTCCCTGGAGATGGAGGCGGCTCACACACAGACACCTCCACTTCCTCCTTCAAGGAGACTAAGGGTTGCTCTGGAAGTAAAGAGATTATTCATGTATTCTGCAAGTGTTTACTGAGCACCTACTATGTGCCAGGTACTGCTGAAGCCACTTGGGTGATCCAACCACACCTGGCCTCAGAGGCCCCTCCAACTCCACATGCCAACAGCGTTTCTCCAACCTGTTCCTCCCTGGGGGCTCCCCTCTCTCTGAAAAGCCCTCCATCCCTCTATGTGTCACCACTGCTTGAAAGAGAGAAAAATAGCAGAAGCCTTCTAGCTGTGTCTTACCCCCACCCTGCTCAGACACCAGGGCCCAGGGGCTGCGTGTTCTTGCTCAAACCTTAACAAGAAGAGCAAGGAGTAGGTGGAAATGCCAGTTCTCCAGTCCCGGCCAGGGATGAGGGACAGAGCAGTAGGGACGTCTGCCATCTCTCCTGCCTGACCCTCAGTTCCCCTGGCCCCGGGACTGTTGGGTTCCAGTCAGACTGAAGAATCAGCAGTTTGCTGGATGCACAAGGCCTCTGAGATCTGCCTAGCAAATCATTTTCATCTTCTTTTAAAGACCTAGCCCAGGCCAGGTGCGGTGGCTCACGCCTGGAATCCCAGCACTTTGGGAGACCAAGGCAGGTGGGTTGTGAAGTTAGGAGTTTGAGACCAGCCTGGCCAATATGGTGAAACCCCATTTCTACTAAAAATACAAAAAAGCCAGGCATGGTGGTGCATGCCTGTAGTCCCAGCTACTTGGGAGGCTGAGGACGGAGAATTGCTTGAACCCGGAAGGCAGAGGTTGCAGTGAGCCAAGATCGCACCACTGCACTCCAGCCTGGGTAACAGAGAGAGACTCCAACTCAAAAAAAAAAAAAAAAGGAAAAAGAAAAAAGACCTAGCTCGAGGGTCAGCTGCTCGCAGGCTGAACACTAGTTTTATTCCCAGGGTGACTAAATATCCTCATTTGCCCAGGTTAAGGGGTTTCTCTAGATACAGGACTCTCAGTGCTAAAACCAGGATGACTTGGTTTCCCTGTTGGCCCCCACTGCACGCCCCGGCTGGCCCACCGCCGCAGGTGGAGCTCTGGCTACACTGTGTAGTGATGCCTGTTGGTGCCTCAGCCTTCCTCACCTGTCCCCATGCCACAGTGCTGTGTCATTTCACTGTGGGCGAGGTGGGATGCTCTGCGGCCAGAGAGGTAAGCAACACACCCCAGATACAAACCGGGATTTGAACCCAGGCTACTAGAAACCCACCTGCAGGTTTCTCCCACAACATAACCCTGAATCTGGCTCTTGGAATCTTAGCCTTTGGAAAGCCTGGGCCCTGGTTTTTGGGGTAGGGGTGGTAAGCTGTGGGGCGGTTCCCATTAGTTACTCCAGGCCCCAGGGGCAAGGAGTGGCTGGGAGAGGAGGAAGTGACCAGCAGTGGCTTTGGCCACTATCCAGAAGATGAGTGACCTGGGCATATGTAGGGAGATCCTGGGGCACCCAGTCCCCACTGCAATGGAAGGAATCAGATGCCCCAAGGGGAGGCACGGAAGCAGAACCAGATTGCTCTTCCAGTTAAACCCAGGCAGCCTCTCCTCTGGCTTAAGACCATTAAACACGTCATGGGAAGCAGCACAATCTGGACCGCACTTCACACCCACTGCTACAGTTATAAGCAAAAGTGCAAAACAACCAGTCGGTGAGAATGTGGAGAAAATGGAACTCATGCATTGCTGGTGGGGATGTAAAACCGTGCAGCCGAGGTAAAAAAACAGGTGGTTTTTCAAAAGGTAAGACAGAACAGCCATGTGGCCTGCCAGCTCCACTCCTACGTATACACCCCCAGAAGCTGAAAGCAGGGTCTCAAGCAGATATTGGTATACTCATGTTCAAAGCAGCATTATTCATAATAGATAAAAGGTGGGAGCAACCCAGTCTCCAGTGATGGATGAATAAACAAACATAAGATGTTCTAGACACATGATGGGATATTATTAGCTATAAAAAGAAAAAAGTTCAAAATAGTTACAACATGGATGGACCCTGAAAATACTAATATTATGATTAGCGAAAGAAGCCAGACACAGAAAGACAAAGATTATCTGATTCCACTTATGTGAGGTACCTGGAGTAGTCAAATTCATAAGAGACCGAGAGTGTCAGGTGCTGGGAGGAGGAGGAGGTAAGGGGAAGTTACTGTTTAATGGGGACAGTTTTTGCTTGGGATGACAAAAATCTGCTAGTTATGGTTATAGATAGTGGTGACGGTTACACACGCTGTGAATGTATTTAACGCCACTGAATTGTACACATACAAGTGGTTAAAATGATAAATATGAATACGTTGTCACACACACAAATGCGATATCCAGATAAAACGCCTGCTTCTGATGGAACTGCCCAGGGCGGCCCCATGATCCTGAATGTGCGGAAAACGCCCCAGGAGGCTTGCTAAGGTGCAGATCTGACTCAGGAGGTTTGAGCTGGCCCTGAAATCCTGCATTTCTAACAGACCCCTGGGCGATGCTGCTGCCAGGGCTGGTGGGGGGACCACACTCAGAGCCCCAGGCTACAGGACCACAGCCAGACTCCCCTGCAGGAAACTCCACGGGGGGCTCCCACCAGCAAGGGCTGCTGTGCCCCCCAGGCTTGTGAAGATGTGCCCAGGCCCACAGGATGGCCTTCCATCATGCTGCTACTTTGATTTGGGAGCCTGGCACCGTGTATCCATCATGCAGTGACATTTACTGAGTGCCTACTGGGTGCCACAGAGGTCCGAGAAGCCAGGACTCAAGGTCGGCCGTGGATGTGTGTGGGGAGCATGTTGCATGCTTCACACAGCACCACGTCATCTCGCTGGACTCTTACTGACTGACTTTTCTTTAATGACTCATTTAAGAAAAATTTATTTATTTATTTATTTGAGATGGAGTCTCACTCTGTCGCCCAGGCTGGAATGCAGTGGTGCTATTTCGGCTCACTGCAACCTCCACCTCCTGGGTTCAAGGGATTCTCCTGCCTCAGCCTCCCAAGTAGCTGGGATTACAGGTGCATACCACTGTGCCTGGCTAATTTTTATATTTTTAGTAGAGACAGGGTTTCACCATGTTGACCAGGCTGGTCTCGAACTCCTGACCTCAGGTGATCCACCCGCCTCCGCCTCCCAAAGTGCTGGGATTACAGGTGTGAGCCACCGCACCTGACCAAAAAATAAAAATAAATTTATTTGAAAAGGAAACCTCTCATCTCTAACACAAGTAGAAAGCAAGAATTACCTGGCAGAAGTAAAATGGTAGTTGTACAATGCAATGGAAACAAAGCTACTGTATTCGGTTCCAGCTCTACCCTGCTGCCTGCCCAGGCAAACTCTCCTCTCCCTTAGAACAAGGCTCACAAGCCCTGACAAGGTGTAAAGGAAGACACCAGGCCAAACTGAAGCCCCAGCACTGCAGAGACAGGCAGAAAGGAGGGACGGCAGGAATGACCTCTGGGGCTCTGTGATGCGACTTTCTCTAATGCCCTGCCTCACCTAACATCACAAGCCCCACACTTCAGAAATCTCGGATCCGTTCCAATCTTTCACTGGCAAAAGGGGAAACGGAGGCCCACGCCCTGGAAAGGGCTCACCTGAGGTCATCGAGTGAGTGCAGGGCCAGGTAGAAATCAGATGGGAAACTGGCTCTTTCTCTAGATTATCATTCTGAGTCCTCCCCGTACCAGCTGAGATGGAGCAGCAGGTTACTCCATGTAGCGTCACTGTTTTGGGAAAGAAAGATTCTGGTTTTCTCTGCCTTTTGTCAGTGACAATAAAAGTATGACAGTGCTGGCCGGGCGCAGTGGCTCACGCCTGTATCCCAACACTTTGGGAGGCCAAGGCGGGCGGGTCACCTGAGGTCGGGAGTTCGAGACTGGCCTGACCAACATGGAGAAACCTGGTCTCTACTAAAACTACAAAATTAGGGGTGGTGGCGCATGCCTGTAATCCCAGCTACTCAGGAGACTGAGGCAGGAGAATCACTTGAACCTGGGAGGCAGAAGTTGTGGCGAGCCGAGATCACGCCATTGCACTCCAGCCTGGGCAACAAGAGTGAAACTCCATGTCAAAAAAAAAAAAAAAAAAAAGTATGACAGTGCTACTGATATGAACACAGGACAGAATGTTTGGAACTTCAGAGACACGCCCTCCCCAGCCTTCCTGACTAGTTTCCAAGTATATGTCTCTGTATACAATCAGCGCTCAATCAATGCCTGCCGTCTGGTGGCCTGAGCTCCTTAGGGAAGCATGGGGCCTCGGGTCGGCTTCCCTGGAAGCAGAGGCTGAGGCACGGATGCAGGTGTCCATGGTGGGTGCTATCTGGAAAGGGATGAGGAGTAAGGCAGGAGAAGGAAGGGGAGATCTCCATGGAGTCAAGCACTACAGGCTGGGGGCGAGGGTGGGCGAGGCAAGTGAGGAGTCAGGCAAGTGGGGTAAGAAAGTCCACTCATGCCCAGGGGCATAGCCCGAGAGTGAGCATCTCCGTGAAGCTGGAGCCCTGGGTGCCTCAACTCACCCTGCACTCGGGCATGATCCATGGGAACTCGGGAGCGTGCACTGTGGCAGAGTTTGTCCTGTCTTTAGGCACGATGGCTGGAAGTCGTCCCTATCCACAGGCCACACCTGTCCCGAGTGTATTGGGAAGAGGTACTCGCGCTCCCTTCCCACCCTCCTTCCTCCTTCCATGGCCAATGAACGATGCATCACCTTCCGAGAAGCCTCCCTTGGACCCTGGAAATATCAGTCTCTGGCCTTCCACACATGGCTGGCACCACTGGAGCCTCACCGCAGGCCTCGTTCCAATCCCCAGCTGCTGTTGGTTTCCCTGGCCCCTTTGGCATTCAAGCAGCACACACAAGCATGCCAGGTAGTACAGGCCCAAGATATGTCCACTGAATAAGTGAATGACAGCTGCTAAAGCTAACACACATTCATTCATTCAGCTCATCACAACTGAGCCCCTACCACATCCTTGGTGCCGTGTGGATGGACAGGTTAGTGCAGGGACAGGCGGTGCTTAGAAAGGGCTCGTGCAGGACTCCGATGGCTCACCCTGGGTGGAAGCGTGTGTTCTATGGTTGCTCTATGCAGGGCCCTGTGCTGAGAACCCAATAGGCAGCTTCTCACTGAGTTCCTATGATGGTTCTATGAGAAAGGTGATCTTACAGACCCATTTTACAGGTGAGGAAACTGAAGCTTACAGAGGTGAAGTGAGTTTCCCAGGACGAAGACAGTTTGAATATCCTGGGTCTGACTCCAGACCATGTCCTTTAATTAGAAGGGGATCTGACTGTGCCCTTTGACACTGGGTGACCTGGTAAGTGCAAAGTGAGGACAATGAAATACCTACAGCCTTGTGGTGGTGGGGGTGGTAAGAGCGAGGCAATAGTACCTGGATAGCTGGGCCCAGGACCTGGCCAGAGTTGGTGCTAGGTGCCGGGTGGACAGTATGATGGTATTATTTTGCCTTTGGGCACTGAGCATGGATGTCTGGGATGGGAAGATGCCTTAGGAGGGCAGGGGGCGGAAACCAGGGGAGGATCGCACTCTTTCTGTCCCTTGAGAATGTTCCCTGCGTATCACAGAACGGTTTCCCAAGTTGGGAGGAAGTAGAGAAGGCAGAGTCAGAATTCAACATAGCTTGTCTCCAAATTGGACATGGGGACTGGGGAAGAAGGGATCCCTGTTCCTGGATGTCTGGGACAAAGACCCGAGGAGAGGGTCGCAGGGGGCAGTAGGTCCAGCCTGGGATGGTGGTGTGGTCTCTTCACCTGCAGGGCAGGGCTCAGGGCTGATTTGTAAACTCAACTCAACTCAGCTTAACTCAACAACTCAACTCAACTCAACTCAACTCAAAGAGTGAGCCCCGGTGACTGCTCCTGTGTCCCTCTTCCTGCCAGGGCTGGGATGAGCTGGAATTTTGATGACCACTTGACTGATGAGGACTATGAAGATCAGGGCAGGATGGGAGCTTGGGACCTCACATTCTCACCTAAGACTCTTCCAGCCCCCTCAACAGTATGGGGGGAACCGCCCCCATGATTATCTCCCACTGGGTCCCTCCCACAACATGTGGGATTTGTGGGAGCTACAATTCAGGATGAGATTTGGGTGAGGACACAGCCAAACCATATCAGGACCCAAGTCCAGTTCTGTTCATGAACTGGTCCTGCCTGCAGGGGGGCCTTTAACCAAAGCAATGGCGCAGCCAGGAACTCCCAGGATGGCTTGGATGTCAAATATTCCCTGCCTCTATCCCGATTCTTTATTCAAAGCATGAAGTCTCTGTATTATCTGTGCATTTTTTAGAACCCCAAAGCTCTGAAGCCCCGCTCCTTCCTGTTGATTTCCAGAGGGTGAAGCCCCATTCCTTTCAAGTGGCTACCCTAGAATCAGCCACCAGAGGCTAAACTTCAGAAAAAGACTCCAGAGGAGGGCTGCAGGTAGGGAAGGACATCTGGTACACAGGGAACAACTAAGTGGAAATATATTCAGCCTTAATTAATACTGAAAACAAAACAAAACACGTAAGTTCAGTATTACTTGCCCATTAAACCAACAAAAATAAATACAATTGTTAAAACTAATGATTGCAGGGTTGTAGAGAACCTGGTGAAATAGCTTATTCCTCCCATGTAACAGGAAGGAACCTGAGACTCAGTGAGATGAAGAGCTTCTTCACAGTCACTCCTGATGGGACCTACAAAGTCTGGGACAAAACCCAGGAACCCTGATGCCAGGCCTCAGTTCCTAAGTCTACATTATAGCCTGTGTTCTTTGAAGACACATAGGTTATATCCAAAAGCCGATGTTTTTCCCTTATGTCTTTTTAACGCCCCCCTGGGCGACATCAGCCTAAGTTTTAGAAACTGCCCTCCCCAAGAAGAAAGATCAATACTGTCTTGGTGATGCTCTCTAATAACAGTTTTTAATACGGTATTTCCAGAGGCTGGATTTGATGTTCTCTTTTGCAAAAGTCACCTAACTTTTCTGAGTTTGTTTCCTTATCTGTAAAATGAGGACAAAGGCCCCCAAGTTTCTCCTTTACCTGCCGATGTGTAAGGTTCCTTCCTGTTTGGTTTATATCCAGGCTGTGTAGCACCCTGTTTGTCCCCAAAGGCCTTTGTAAACAGAATCCCATGGTGACACTGAGTATCACAGACTCCAGGCTCTGAAGAGGAAGTTTGGACTTAATGTGGTCCCAACAATGCTGCTACAGGGGGAATCAGATCCAGAGAGGAGACGGGATGTACGTGAAGCCACCTCTGCCATCAATGTGTCATTTTCCCAACCCTGCTGGTTCTCAAGGGAGGGCAATTTTGTGCATGCATGTGCACCCCCCCACACACACACCCCACCTGGGACACCTGACAATGTCCAGAGACTTCTGGCTATCACAACTTGGGGATGGGGCGCTCCTAGCATTTAGCAGGTAGAGGCCAGGGATGCTGCTAAACATCCTGCAATGCACAGGGCAGCCCTTGTGGCTAAGGCTGATCCAGCCCCACAAGTCCATAGTGCCGAGGCTGAGAGCAGACCCTAATCCTTACCATGCCTGGCTCACCACCTCCTTCTCTAGACCCTTGGATCTTTGAAAGGAAAAGACCCTGCCTGCCTGGTTCTCTGTCACCTCCCCAGAGCCCACCCCAGGACCTGCACACAGCGGTGCTCAACACAGATCAGCAAACCAGGACTCAGCCAGGTCTTCAGAAGCACAGCCCAGGACTTTCCACCCTTCTCAGTCTCACGCATGTTTTCTGTTAATTTCAAATAGACCTTCCTCCAGAATCTACCTGGATAACCTCTCTGAATCCTTCATGATGAGCCTGGCCATCACCTCCTGTGGGAAGCCTTCTGTGATAACCCCACGCTTCAAGGGGAGTTGGACATGGAGACCACAGCTCCTGCGCCCACTTCCTGCGCAGCACCTATCATCCTGGCTTGAGTTTGTCTGTTTTCCCTTCTCTCCCCATCACTCCTGCAACCCAAGAAAGGAAAGACTCTACCTTTTCCATCTCCATGTAGTGATGCTTGGCATATAGTAGATGCTCAATAAATAAGACATGAACACATATATCTTGCTCTTCTTCAATCTATTTTGCATTTAACAATGGGAATGACCTTTCAAACGACACGATCAGATCATGAAACTCCCTGATAAAAATTCTACAGTGACTTCCTGTTGCACTTACAAGAAATCCCAGAGTCCTCTCCTGGGTCTCGCCGACTCTCAGGCCTTGTCTCACTGCACCTCGCAAATTCACAGTGCCCCAGCCATGCGGAGCTCCTCCACTCCCCAACACATCCAGCAGAGGCCACCCTGAGGCTCCTGCACCCGCTGTCCCAGACATCTGCAGTGCATGGTCCTGCTCTTCTCATGGCTGCTGCCTTCTCTGCCTGTGGGTCTCAACTTGAGTCCTGCTGTCTCAGAGACCTCCCTGGTGACCCCATTTACAGAAGCCCCCTCTAAGTTTCTATGATAAACCTCATTTGCTCTCTCTTCAAAGCACTGCTATGTGAGCCTACCTTGTTTATTTCCTATCTTCCCCTCCCAGTCAGAATAAAATTCCATGAGAATAAGGATCTCTCTCTCTTTTTGCATTTCAATAGCTGTAGTGGGTGAAATAGTGGCTCCCAAAGAGATATGTTCAAGTGCAAGTCACTGGAATCTGTGAGCATGACATTTGGAGAAAGGGCCTCTGCGGGTGAAATTGTTGAGGATCTCTGCATGAGATCATCCTGTGCGCCCTAAACCTGATGACAGGTGTCCTCATAGGAAAAGGAGAGGGACATGTGAGATATAAGGGGACACAGGGAGGAAGGCCCTATGGAAGTGGAGGCAGAGGCTGGACTGTTGCAGCTCTGAGCCCAGGAACACTCAGCACTGCCGGCAGCTGGCAGGAGCCAGGAGCGGGCCTGGGGCGGCTTCCCCCTCAGAGCCTCCAGGAGGAGCCAAGCCTGCCCATAATTTGATTTCAGACTTCTGGCCTCCAGAGCTGCGAGAGGATGCACTTCTGGTGTTTTGAGCCATGAAGCATGCAGAAATTTGCTATGGCAGTCACAGGAAACTAAAGCTGTGCTTCCTGCTCTTAGATACAATAGATCCTCAATAAATAGTGTTGGACAATAATCTGAATCCTACTGAATAAACTGCCTCGCAGGGCCCCAGGTGTACACGGGGACTGAGCATTTAACTCTGGGAGCACCTCACTCTCATTACCAGACCCCTACCCTCAGCCCAGACCCCCACTCTCAGCCCAGGCCCCCTACCCTCATCCAGATCCCCACTCTCAGTCCACACCCCAACTCTCAGCCCAGACCCCACTCTCAGGCAGCATCTCACCAGCCACCATCGGTAGGTGTCGTCCTCCAAGAGCGCATTCTGGGCAGTCAGCAGCGGCTGCACAGTCTGGTTGAACCTCTCGTCGAACCAGACCGAGAGCTTGCGCTGCCCAATGCAGTGGGTGCAGGTGCAGGGCCTGTGCTTGATCAGCCTCTTCAGGTTCTCGGAGAGCTCCAGGACCATCTGCTTGGGGAACCAGGTGGTGGCCACCATGGTGTGGGAGTAGTTCAGGAAGAAGGAGGTGAGGAAGATGAAGACCACGAGGAAGGTGAGCACCTTCAGGGTCCTCTTCCGCAGGGTCACCATCTTCGCAGTTCTGATGGCGGCCTCCCACGATGGGTAGCAGAACTCCCTCCTAAGAGAGGAGAAAAACGGAAGAAAAATCCCAGAGGTGGAGGCTCAATCAGAAGGGAATGGCGGGAATTCCAAGGGAGGACACAAGGGCCACTAAGGTCGACTTCACTCCCGCTGGGGGATGACCCCCCACTGTGTCCCAGACACCGCTGTGTGGTAGACCAAGGCCATTCGTGACATGTTTGCTTTGCTTGCATATATTTACCTTTTCAGAAAATAAAGTAGCCTATTCTTCTGCGATCCTTAAAGAGCTGATAATGTCTCCTGATCAAGCTTTAACCAGTGATTTCCTTTCCCATCCAAACAAGATAAGGGGTCATTAATCGCTATGACAGTCCAGGGTCCCTCAGGAGCAAGGACCTCGAAGGAAGGGTCTTGGTATAACGGGGAGGGAAGCTGTCTCTGCCGTCCTCCTCCAACTGTGGTTTCTGATGATCCTTAATTAGGGCTTTTTCTTTCTCATGCTGTCACCAGAGACACGGTGGGTACGCAACCAGCTTGATGAAGGCACAGAAGGTTGTCTGTCATCTGCAAAGAAAAGGAGGAAGAAAACAGGGTGAGATTCTGTGATCCTGCTATAAAAAATGTTTCTCTCCACATCTCCACCAGGATGTATTCCGTGGTCTTCCTTCTGGTGTCATGCCAACCTGGCAGGTGGCTCCGGATGGTTATCTACCTTTGTGAGCCTCAGTGCGTGGATACAATGGATGTTATCATCTCTTTGCAAGGTTACTATGGGATGCAGAAAGTGTCCGCTCCATGCTTCCAACAACAAGAACCTAGCACACTGACACACTCAACAAACGTTTGTAAAAGAGCTCATGATGCATGTAGGTATACTATACACAGGGATTGTTAAATGCATGTTATTTGCTTTCTCTCTACTTCATTCTCTTCCAGATTTTGGATTTCAGCAACAAGCACAACAACAAAGGTATGCTTAGAGAGTGACCCAGGGTTCCTTTTACCCGGGCTTTCAAGCTCTGCCAACTGGCCTTAGTTCCATAGAAGGGGCTTTAGATAGTCTAAGTTCAAGTTCTGATTTCCCATCTGTGGAGCCTTGGGAAAGTTATTCAACCTTCCTGACCCTCAGTTTCTTCTTCTGTAAAGTGGGATACTAACACCCCTACTTATAGAATGGTTATGAAGATAGATAAAATGATGTATTCTGGGCTTCTGGCATCTATTAGGCCACTGCTGAACTTTAATTTTCCTTCTTCAGTCAGGCGCGGTGGCTCACGCCTGTAATCCCAGCACTCTGGGAGGCTGAGGCGGGCGGATCAGAGGTCAGGAGATCAAGACCATCCTGGCTAACATGGTGAAACCCCATCCCTACTAAAAAAAATACAAAAATTATCCGGGTACGGTGGTGAGCGCCTGTAGTCCCAGCTACTTGGGAGGCTGAGGCAGGAGAATCCCTTGACCCTGGGAGGCGGAGCTTGCAGTGAGCCGAGATTGCACCACTGCACCCCAGCCTGGGCAACAGTGTGAGACTCCATCTCAAAAAAAAAAAAAAAAATCCTTCTTCAATACATGAATGAATCGATATTCTTTGATGATCCACTAAGAGCTGAGAGGATGAGATATTCACGCATACGTATCTCTTCAGATAATCCTCAGAATATACTGCCAGCTAGATACTAGTCTCCCTTTTTGTCTTGAAGAAACTCTCAGAGTTTCTCAGAAGAAACTGAGACTCTCCCTAAGGAGAGTGTCTCAGAAGAAACTGAGACTCAAAGAGGTTAGATGACTTGCCTAAGGAAAGGAAGGAGCAGGATCTGAGTCCAAATGTACAGTCCTCTGATTCCTTGCATCTGGAGGGGTTAGGGTTAGGGTTACTATGGTCCCCTCTTAGGGGACCAAGAATAGGGGGTTAGAGGGCTCTACCCTGGAACAGACACCTGTCTTGTTAACTGTTCAGATTACTACAGCTGGAGGGATATAGAGCAAGGGGGGAATATTCTTTTGAAGAAAGCAAACGGGTACCTCTCAAATGCCCATCAGAGACTCCCCTGGCTCTCACTGACACCTTGGGATTTCTGTATGATACAACTGCGGTTACACCTCTGCCCTGGAGCATGTTCTCTTTGGTCTTTGCTTGGAATGCTGAAGAATGGAAGGAATCTGATCAATTCCTCCCCATCCTCAAGGTGTAGATTGCCAATAAGCAGGGTATTTTTTTTTTTTTCCCCAGGAAAATTAGAGTTGAAAGGAGATTGATCACCTTTTGGTAGAAAGGGGGGCAGCTCAAAAACCGTATTAAATCCACAGTGCCTTTCTGGAGACATCCAGGGCCCAAGATACATAGGGTGCAACCCTCTTCAGCTTCCAGAAATAGAAGCCCAACGTATGGAGGATAAGGTCTGAGCTCCGCAGCTCAGCTGGCAATGCCACTTTTATCCGGCCTCTGCTCCAATTTTCACTTTTCATGACAACCTAGATTTTGTTTATAACCTAGTGGTGTCCACAGGTGTCCCATCCAATTCTCTCCCCACCTGCCCTCATCAAGGAGCAGTTCTGTAATTTGAGTAAGAATAACTTCTGCACCATCACAGGTAGGCTCACAATTCACTTGACTGGCAGAGGGTTCCCACCTCTTACCCCAGTAATTGATCCAGGGATAGGCATATGCCTTAATTCATCCAGTCCAGCTTCTGTAGGGAGGGAAGAAACTCTTTTGCTCTGGCTGGCTTGTTGTTGACATGTGGAACATCCTGCTGGCTATTTTGCTAGCTTGTGTAGAAGAGACTGGAGCTGAACAACCTGAACAAATGGTGCTAAATCCTTGATCCTGCTCAACCTGCAGTCCCACCCTCATCTTGACTTTTCAGATACATGAAGGAATGCGCCCTCTTTATAGAATAAAGTAGATTATTTGTAACGTCAAGCAACATGACCGACCCACAGGTCACAGTTGCTCCTACCTCTGTGCCCCTGCTCAGGCTATCCCCACTGCCCAGAAAACCACCCCCACCCTGCGTGGCCGATGGTTCTTACTTATTCTCTAGGGCTCAGCTGGTGCCGACCCCTGGAGGAAGCCCTGCCCACTCCTGGGGTGAGTTAGGGGCCTCTCCTGGCTCCCCAGGGTCCTGGCTGCACTCTGTCTGCACTCTTCACACATATGTCTCCTCCCTGGACGGGGAGCAACGTGAGGATGGAAACTCAGCCTCGCTATGGCAGTGACCCTGTCACCTGTGCACACACTCAATGCTCAGTGGAGGCTTGGGTCATGAAGGAACCCAGAAATGAATGGAGGGAAACAAAACAGCCAACAGTCCAGAGAGAGATCTGAGAAAGAAAGCACAGACTCCGAGTCAGATTTCCATTCTCAGCAGCCTGTGCCACTCTACTCACTGTGTGACCACGAACAAGTCACCTAGCCCTTCTGAACCATCCCTTCAATGGGAAAAAGGGATCGATAACACAAATTCTGCTAATTTCTCAGGGCTGCCAACCCATCAAGGTTGTCCATTCATCTCATTCATTGACTGCATATTTGCTGGTCCTTGCATTCTCCAGGCCCTGGACAAGGTGGCTGGGGTACATCGTAAAGGGATCTAAGGTAGGGGCCTCCCAGGCATCAATAGGGCCCCAGATCCTTTGGAACAAAGGAGGCCAGTATGCCTGGATCAGACGCAGGCTGGAGGAGAGGAGTGAGTGGGGGGTGAAAGGGAATCTGGGCACGCAGCTGGGGTGAGAGTGCGTTGGGCCAGAGAAGCCACAGTCAAGACTAAGTTCTCTCTGGGTTAGCGGGTTTCTCTGGAAACCCGCTGGTGGGGCTGAGCAGAGGAATGCCATGGTCTTATTACATTAGCCTTTACAATGAACAGGGCCTAGGGCACCCTTGCCCTTAGTGTTTCTGCACCCCTAATGCCAGGGCAGAGATGAGTTCCCTGAAATAGATGACTGTTGAACTGTGTTGATCAAACAAGGCTATGGATGAGAGGTCATGTTTCCTACAATGGCCTGCCTCTGCATGAGAGATATTAATGCTCTAGACTGCTGCTAGGGGTTGGGTGAGAGGCAGGGCAGAGAGCAAGGTTGTGCTGCACAGGCTGTGGGACTGTGACAGCCTCCTCTCCTCTGGGGCATCCTGCAGCCACACCTCCAAGGCCAGGGCACTCCCCATAACCATCAGAGGCTTCTGAGCTGGTATCATTTAGCGCTTTCCAAAGCCCTGGATAAAATGGCAATGGAAAAGCAAGAACGCCGCTCCACCCCTTCCCTGGCTGCAGGGAAGAAACAGGACTGCATGTCTTCTCTGTGCTCTAGCAAGTGTGGGGCAGCCCGCAGGCATGGGGGAATGCCAGCCCTGGCTCCCAGAAATGAAACCTGGGTCAAGATGCCACAGACCAAAGATCTCTGCATGCCAAGTGTGTGGTGAGGGAGGCCTGGCCTCCCAGAACAAGGAGAAAGAAGAGAGGGAGCAGGGAAGGATGGGAAAGGAGGGAAGCTGGCTTCCTGTCCTCTGCCAAATGGCAGTCATTTCCCAGCCACATGCTCAATACGAGGAGGCACGAAGCACCTGCACACAACAGAGCTTAGTGGGGTCACCAGCACAAGACTGACAAATGTCAGCACACTTTTGAGGACTGGAAAGTAAGAATTTCCATACGGAGAGTACCTAATGAAGATAAACTCCTCTGGCAATAGGGAGTTGAGGGGCAATGACCAGAGACTGAGAGAACTGTGTGGAACTCCTGCAAACACGGATGAATGAACTGCATGGGGTTTTGAACCTGTAGTAAATACCCGCTGAATGGGATGGTAGTAAATACTCATCACAGGCTGGGATGCCCTCCCAGCCCTTCACACAGCCCCTGGCACTATGGTCACCAGAGAAGAGGTATGCCTGAGTGAACTGTGCAGGCTGTTGGCAAAGTTGACACTTTCAATGCAGAGTGGCCACAACTTTCCCCATGTAATCCCCAAGCCACCTACCCACGGGAGAGGTGGGTAACCCTTAGGCTTGTCTCCCTGAAACCGAGAGAAGGCAAGTGACTTATCCAAGGTCACACAGCAAAATGGTGGCAAAGCCAGACTCCTGCCTTCTCCTGTGGCTTTCTATGTAGCCATGGCTCATTGTTCAATTCCATCAATACCTGCTCTTATCTGCCCTATCTCCCCCATTCCCTTTCTGATAACTTCTTTGGACTTGGTTTACTGGCATCCCTCCAGCCTCTTATGTTGGATACTACCTTGTTTACCTTCCCTTCTTGCTGTGCCTACTCTATTTGAATTATGTATTCAGTTCTTCATTTCCGTGGTGTCTTTTAGTTCTGGAATTTCCACCTAATTTTTTGACAGGTTCTACTTTGCTGGTGAATTTCTCCATCTTGTCATCTATCTTTGTGCAATTATTCACCACAGCCATCTTAAAGCCCACATTGGATATCCTGTGATACTTGGATAACATGGGTCTATTTCTATTGTCTATTTTCTCGGTTGCTCTGTCTTTCTTTGGTTATTTGGTTCTGTCCTTGGCAGGCCTGGTTGCTGTTTGTATTGTATATGACAAAAATGTAGAG